ACCAGTTGAATATACATACGTATTACAGTTACAAGAAGGCCATTGTGCCTTGCGAAATTCGACAAGCGCTCTCACTCACGAAGGTCTAGTTTCGAATATTTAGGTCACGTTCCTCTTGGCATCCACTTTGACGTTCGAACAAACCCGTCAATGGACGAGAATCGATTTATTTATAGTTAACTGACGCGTTGAGACCAACTTTGTTCTTCGAAGAACAAAGAGATGGGAAAAATAAAGGGCGGCGAGAGAGATATAAATCTCGTGATATAATTCGTTGCGAGAATTCCGACAATGATCGGCGAAGCGGAAACTTGTCGAGTTAGAAGGCCCATCGATGCGGGATCCGGAAGCAGATTAGTAGAAGGGCCGGTGAAAAAAATCTGGTGACTCCGGAGAACGAGGGAAGAAAGATAATGAGTCGCTTTCGCGACAGCACAGAAGGGGGCTTAATCGACTATCATTACGACGCGGTCGCCACGCGATAAGATTAAGCCCGGTATAGTTAATCACGATCTCATCATAGCCTTTTCTTACTCGATTAAGCACTCTTAATTCTAGCATTTTGCAGTTAATAAGAGGTGATAAACGTAAAGGTATTAGCGAATTATGCTCTATCATTTAGGAAATTTAAGATATACCTTTTGTAAGAAAAATTGTGATTAAATAAATCAAGTCGCACGCTTCAGATTTCTAAAGTGCAAATTATACGCGCGCGCGAGTTTACATCTTTTTATTCTCGCGGAAATTTTCATCGGGAAGTATTTGCTAGTGGCAATTCGTCGTCAAGACTTTTAATCATTCGCGTCACGCACAGTCGCTTAGTCGCGCGCGACCAAAGAAATCGACGAGACTGGCTATCGAGAGCGAGATAAACGAAGTTAATGAGCTAGTCCTTCGGAGGGACAGAAGAGACCTTAACGAACTGTATGTACATATATATATATATATATATACGCGAACGGCAAAACACTTGACCACTCTTCGCAGGACGATACACGCCGGCTTTGTTTTGCTGGATCGGCCATTGTCTTGCTGGAAATCATTGAGATTAGTTTCTTCGTTGTTGACAATGACTGATTGTGTTACTCGTATTAAAGGCGAATTCGTTTTCCCTCAACCGGTTACTGTTAAAATTCCGAGAGACGACAATTTTACTCGAATAATTGGGGTACATTGTATTCTGGACTCTAGAAACGATTTTTCCTTCCTTCTCGTAAAATGGCCATTCATAAATCTTTCTTCCCTCGCGTCTCGGAGTGCGGAAAAATTCTTTACTTTAATCGTACAATCTCAAAAAATTGATATTATTGCAAAAATTATATATTGTATTTACACGCATGTTACATAAGTGTATTAGTAAAATATTTTTATCGAACAAATGACAAAGGCCTGTCGAGTGCAAACAATTTTGTGAAAAATTTATGCGTCGCACAAAATGTTGGCAGCTACCAGAATGCAAATTCATTTAGAGAAGAAACGCTAAGTGCATGCCGAGGTCACAACGTCGCGTTATAAGACTTGGCGGTTGCAGTTTACCGTGGGAAGCTGCTTGGATGTTAGATAATTGAATAATTTCTCAGAAAATATAGGCGCGAGGGTGTCAGAGCAAAAGAGAGAGAGAGAGAGAAAGAAAAGAAGACGGAAAGCATGAGCACATAAGACGAACCTTCTCACGCGGGAAAATTCACGATGCGGCCTTCGCGTGCAATTAAACGTAACGGTAATGGCATCGGATTCTCCTTGGTGGTATAATGTCACAAGTATACTGCTAATTGGTGCAATGGGAGATAGCATCGAATGCTGGGTTGCTTCTATCACGGAAGCGCAAGAAAATTACACGAATCGTGAAATTAGTTAGCTCTCGATTCAATATATACAACGCTCGACATGGTGTAAAACAATATACTTGCAAGCGAATATCATTGGCCTTATGACCAGAACAATAGAATATGTTCATTAGAAACGGATTTATACAACACGCTCAGTTATTGTGATTAAACTAGATATCTAGTATTGTTTGAATATATCGTTTCAATGGGCTATAAAATTAAACTCTCAGTAAATTAAATATTAAATTAGCCTATACTATAAAAAAGATTTCACTGCTTGTGTATCGATAATTTCTCTCTCTTTTTTTCTTATAACCTGTTGGATTTGCTACTGTCGACGATGTCCGTCTATCGGTTCGCTCAGCACCAGATTGCGTTATGTCATACGAAACATTATCTTTCAATAAGCCATAAATCGCTAATTCTATTTTATAGATTTGGAAAAATTTATGAATATATGAGTGAATCGAAGCACGAATAAAACGCTTTGTTCGTGTTGTCATTTTTTAAATCCAATCCCAATGACTATTTCCACTTTTAAGAGAGAATAAAATGACGGAGAAAATGAAATTTTCGAAATATATCTTTAAAAAGATATTTTTCACAGAAAAGTTTTTTTCGATGGTCAGTCGACCGTGGCAACGACCGTGCGTAAACGCGCGCGCGTAGCCGCAAATGACATCAGTATAATTTTCCAGCTCGAAAATCACGGAGCAAGCCGTGCAGCCACCGTGAACGCGCAACGTGCCGTTGACACTTCAACAAGTGGATACAACACGCCGGCGCACGTGTCGCCGACAGTTTTGGTGTGTGTTATGTTGCGTGCGCGAGAGAAAGAGAGAGACGGAAAAAAACGGGGATAAAAGTGCGAACGGCGCTTGCGAGAGTGTAAGTTCATCGAACCGCGCTGATCGTGAAAAGTCAGAGCGGTTGATGCGAATGCTTTACTGCGGCTTACCGCACGCGTTTAAATATTTTTAGTCGTCACCCACGCCGGTTCGCGAAAAGTCGGGCGTTCCGTTGGTTACGCGGTTTATTAACCTTATTAGATATCATTGTCGCACGTAAATCCGTGTTGCAATAACCGCGTATTTAAGCTGTTACAAGAAAGCGAAATATGTTTCGAGAAAACACGGGCTAACGAACATTATGAAAAATGCAATATTACATATACAATTTTTTAATAAAGTATATTATGTTTACATACGCACTTTTTATTGCACTTCTTTTCGCACCAAAGCCGAAAAATTTTAAACTGCAACGGTCTGTAATACAATATGGGCAAAAAGCGATCCAGAGCGTAATAAAGTGCGAGAATATAGTATCTGATTTTGCGCAATTGAAATTGTTATATTGATTTATATTTCGAATCAGGTATCATAAATCGCGCCGATTCAGCTGCGAGCGATGGATAATTACGCATGTTGAGATGCAGACGGCGGATAGATCCTCGATTAAACAGGAAAAATGATGTGCGAAGAAACACAGTGTGAGAAACGAGACGATTGGTTGGAAGAAAGAAAATAGAAAAGATAGCCATATAACCGCGTGTACGCCAAGAGTAAGACGAAGAAGAGACCCGTTATAGTGACCGCGTTGCATCGCATTAACCAGCCGACCGAGTGATCCTGATCCCATCTCTCATCCTGATTCTGGCTCGACGAGCAAAGCTTCTATCGTCTGATGATAATCTACTATCCCTAATGATCACAATTCTTACACGACTTTCGGTTACGAATCATAGCATATAATTGTATTTTTATTAAACTTATTCAATGCCCGTTAAAAGAGTAAAGCTCATTTTTAAAATTTATTTAAGATTTAAAATTCCAAGTAAAATATTAATAAATATTAGAGTTATAGAGTTTTTTTGTCTCACTGTATACAGCAAGATTTATTGATGCGCTAAAATATAAGAAATCGATTTTTTATTTCTATATCAAATTTCTCGATTAATAATTTTTAAGAGATTTAAGAGATATAACTATTAGAAGTAAATATTTCTAATTTATTAAACGAAATAAGAGAAATTATTATTCGCGCTTCAAAAAGGCAATTTGTAAAAAGTGCTTCATCGGCTATAAAATTTGATGCTTTGACGTCTGGAAATATAATTACTGCAAAAGTGTGTATATTGCAAATGTTGAAGTATACACATTGATCAATGGATCAAAAAATCTCATTATATAAATTCTGAAAACAAGTTTGTAGTCTGCATGGTACTTTAATCGAAGCGATTACGTAAATGAGACGTGACCGTGAGCGACAGTACAATTGCGTTTGTGATTTATACGTTCTCTCGCGCGATTCTAGTACTTTTTTATAATTATACATGGATGAGTAGACTTTAATTAGCTACAAAGTGCCGCAGGCAAGAAACGAATAAAGCTCGCCTGAAATTTAGTTCAATTATTATGATCGTTTGCCCGCATACGGACGATTTATCCGCATTGTATAATTATTTCGGACCACATAATGAGGCGACGCGTTAATTAGGTTTATTCCGCCATTATCGCGCGCCATCGATATTCGTCGGATAATTAGGTATTTTATTATTCTAGAAATAAAAGCAGCGTGCTCGAAAGCTAAACCGGTCCGAATCGATAAAACCGCACACTATCCGTTTACGAGGTAAATGTTTATCCCATTCTCTCTTCCGACACTTCCGATTGCGCGGCTTGGTAATATCTCGTTTAAATATTTCCCGATTCCTTCGAATCTATACGAAAATAGGATACTTAACAATAAATGTATCTGTTTTCGCGATAACAATCTGCACCGGTATTTTATTATCCAGTAAAATCGATGATGTGTCCGTATTGCCTCCTCTTCCTTTCTCGAGAAATATATTTTTTTTTCTTTCTTTAATATTTTTATAGATAACGTCGCAAGATACAATGACATTCCGGAAATTCCGGAAATCTTCCGAGGACTATAACGTAATGTTACGAGCATCTAAAGTACCAAACGATAGATTGAATTCTCAAATATTCAAAATATAAAGTTTTATAGAGACTTTTCCGATAGCTCGCCTAACAATTTTTTAAAATTATATTTTATAAAGATTACGACACTAAATAACGGATCGCACAAACTATTACACATATCTATGTAATTTACATTTGAAAATACATTTATCTTTTAAAACTGATAGTCAGTATCACGACTCACCTAAACGTCCACCAGATGTTAAAGCACATCGTATTCAGCCAGAAGAAAGCAGCCAGGAAAAAGAAATGCGCCATGATCGCTGAAATATAAAAAGACAAGTTTACATATATATACAAATACAAATATTGAATAAAAAAGATGTAAAAATCAAAAGTTAACAATATCGATCTTTTTTTTTTAATTAAGAATTTTTTTGCATTTGAAAATATTTTATCCGTCAGTATTCAATTATAATAAAATTTAACGCTGTTTCAACGCCTGTGGCAAACTATCAACACCGATCTTTAATCATTTATCCAAACTCTTAACAAATTCAAGACATCTTGTAACGGGTAAACCAGATCGCTGAACAAAGATCGCGCCGTCGGTTTTCCATACCTCGATGCATTCTTAAAAGATTCATAAACCATAGTTCGGTAGAGGGTGAGTTTGGAGGGTGCGACACGCAAGCAAAGAGCCGAACGAAATTTCGGAGGGAGACAGCTTTTGTAAGGATCCGTTTGAATGGTCGCCAAGAGGGTGCGACTGGTGGTGTTTATAAATTTTTAAGAGCGTTGGCCGCATTCATCCTTAGAATTCTCTTCCTTAGCGTCTGTTTCTAATGAAGACGAAAATTACGCGGGGTGATAATCTTTGCAAGGTATATTGAAACAACATTTCATTTCATTAAGGGTGCCATCCGATTTATTATTTATGAAACACGAAAACACACATAAGTAGCTGAGCAGTAATTATATTAGAAATAGATGAAAATTAAATACACAATTATCCTCTATAGTAAAAATATCATTTTGATTTTTTATTTTTATCATATCATTAAAAAAATACAAGAACTAATTAAAAATCTTGCTTTATAATAAAAATTTTCTTATTCTTTTTTCCTGAATTTTTATAATAGTCTTTTAATTGTTATCTTTTTATCTATTTTAATTTATTTTGATTTATATATGATCACACGTGTGGGCTATGTTATATACGTTAAGCGCCATAAAAATGCAGAAGCGTGCTAAATTACAGAATCATGGTAACGATGTAAAGATTCAACGGCAAGAGAGATGAAATATCGTTTCAATATTTGCGTGGCTTGCGTATTGATAAATTTTTAACAACGTCACACAGCGTGTGTATTGTGTATATATGCATGTTTGCCCTTAGAATGCGGAACAATGAGCACGGAATGCAAACCGATGGCAAGAACAACGGCATAAATTTCTAAAAACGCAATCAACAAACACGCATAATGGTGGCGACAACAAATAAACATGCTCAGTGCGCGTTCAAAATCTATCAAACTTTTCTTTGCAAATAAATAAATTTATTTTTCATAAGCGTGGATATGAATATGCAAGTATACGTAGTATTTATCGGCACGTAGAATTTACTTTATTTATTTTATTGCTGTAATTATAACAACAAACTGTAACGATATCAACAATTAAACTTTAAAAATAAAACATTTCGATTGCTACACGATAATGTATGATCAATCATTATAATATTAATGTCAATATATATATATCGACATCGATATAGATATCAAGATTGATATTGTACTCGTTACATTACGTAGCAATCAAAAACAGTTCCATCTTTAAAATTTAATTACACAAGCGCACATTTCACGAAACATAAAATATTCGCGATGTAAAATTGGTTTTATAACAAAATACGTACGTAAACATACATCAAACAAACACATACATATGCGAGCACATATTTTTATTCCACTCCAGCGCTGCTCAAAATAAAATTTTAATATCATCTGCAAAAACGTAAGTACTTATCATTAATTATGTAACTCCGCTGTTCGCCAATTTTCAAATTTAATTTCAATAATCACAGCTATCTAGCTGTAAACGCATATATTGTAAGCAAAAATAGAAGAAATAATATTTTGCAATAATATCAATCAAGAGTAATATTTTTTTATATTTTCCATTTCGCAATGCGCGTACACTAAGATGTAATAGCGCGTATTCAAGAATAGATGAAGGCATGACGCAATGAGAAACTACCGTAACCGACAAAGTTCCTTGCGTTCACTCCGTTATGCGCCATGAATTATGCTCGCACCTCGGAATAAATGTGCAATTAGAGCTCTTTTCGTATAAAAATATGAATAACTGCAATGAGTAATCCACCGCGCATATCTGCCAGTTTAATCAAGTCTCTACTCAGTTGCAATTATTCTAACGGAAATGGCAAAAACGCTGTTGATAGAGAGATAAATCGTAGTGTAAACATGTCGAGCTGCGTGCCGCGCGTTCAATTAACTTTTACATTTAACTTCGTACACCGATGCCGGAGCACCATGTGCATAACGAAAAATTTCATATCGCTAATGGAGAGAGCAGCTTCGAGCGATAGCATGGCTGCAGAATCGCGATTTTAAAGATTGACCAATGGATTTGTCCTGGCGATTTATGATGCCATGACAGCTAAATTTCACGACTTGAATATTTACGCGAGTGAAAAACTTATGCACTGGATACTTAATGTAAAAACAATTAACAAAGAAAAAAAATACATATCTACAAAAGACTTTGATCTTATTTTTTCTCATATAATTTTTAATAATATTTTTGAATATTATAAAAATATACAAATTATAAATATATATCTAATAAGTCGTTCGGTAAATTTACGCGCAATGTGATATTTTTTAAGTATGTATTAGAAAAAACGACGATTTTATTACATTGACAAAACGTATATCCTTATATACGTGCGTATAGAAAAACGATAAACTTGTATCTAGCTAAATCCCAGAGAAATTACTTTAACCGGCAGATGCCAGCGTAAGTAAAACGCAATGTCCATTTGGCGAAACATGAACTAACGATTCGCAATTACAGGACACCCCATCCCAACGTCCGAGAAGTCACCCGGATGGGATTAACGCGTACGTTACGCGGCGGTGAAATCGTCAAATAATTCTTCGCCAGGAGGCTTTTACGATATGGGATGGTAGCCGGCGGCATTTATCGCGTAACACGGAAATAATTAAATTTTGAAAACTAATTATGGCTCGTTGCAATTATAACTCGAGCGACATTCATCCGTGAATTGCCACACTATTATCCACCCCTGTCGACTTGGGTACTGGGCAACTTGAAAAGCTCGCAGGCAAACCGTTTCGTTGTCTCACCCCACCGACGACCACCACCCTTCATCGACAAAATCCACCCGGCAACGTGTTTCGGACGGCCGGGGCGGATCGTGTTTGCGCGGTGTGTTTTCCATTTTCCACGCCGCGTAGGATCAGCCATGTGCGGAAGAGGTCCTTTTGTTGGAATTAGTACCGGGAGTCGAGAGAGAGAGAGAAAGACAGAGAGAAGGAGAATGGGGAAAGAAAGGAAGAGATAGGAATATTGCGCAGGGGATGTTTTCAAGTAGAACGGGCGCGCTGCTTGTTTTCTCATTCATCATGATTTATATGAGTCGAAAACAGCGATGCGCAGAGATACGAGGAGATAGTCGGATAAAAAGACGATTTTGTGTTAGCAGCACCAAGGAATATGTCGGAACGGAATAGAAAGATATTCGTTTCTGGAAGAATATTCTTTGTGTCGCATGTCGCGAGCGTATTATTTTCGTAGAGAAATATAACGTCTTCTAAAAGTCTAAAGAAGTTACGTCTAAACCAAATATACTGTTACTCTCTCTCTCTCTCTCTCTTACTAGACAGAAAAATGCATGTCACACCAGTAAATATACAAATTATAAATATATATCTAATAAGTCGTTCGGTAAATTTACGCGCAATGTGATATTTTTTAAGTATGTATTAGAAAAAACGACGATTTTATTACATTGACAAAACGTATATCCTTATATACGTGCGTATAGAAAAACGATAAACTTGTATCTAGCTAAATCCCAGAGAAATTACTTTAACCGGCAGATGCCAGCGTAAGTAAAACGCAATGTCCATTTGGCGAAACATGAACTAACGATTCGCAATTACAGGACACCCCATCCCAACGTCCGAGAAGTCACCCGGATGGGATTAACGCGTACGTTACGCGGCGGTGAAATCGTCAAATAATTCTTCGCCAGGAGGCTTTTACGATATGGGATGGTAGCCGGCGGCATTTATCGCGTAACACGGAAATAATTAAATTTTGAAAACTAATTATGGCTCGTTGCAATTATAACTCGAGCGACATTCATCCGTGAATTGCCACACTATTATCCACCCCTGTCGACTTGGGTACTGGGCAACTTGAAAAGCTCGCAGGCAAACCGTTTCGTTGTCTCACCCCACCGACGACCACCACCCTTCATCGACAAAATCCACCCGGCAACGTGTTTCGGACGGCCGGGGCGGATCGTGTTTGCGCGGTGTGTTTTCCATTTTCCACGCCGCGTAGGATCAGCCATGTGCGGAAGAGGTCCTTTTGTTGGAATTAGTACCGGGAGTCGAGAGAGAGAGAGAAAGACAGAGAGAAGGAGAATGGGGAAAGAAAGGAAGAGATAGGAATATTGCGCAGGGGATGTTTTCAAGTAGAACGGGCGCGCTGCTTGTTTTCTCATTCATCATGATTTATATGAGTCGAAAACAGCGATGCGCAGAGATACGAGGAGATAGTCGGATAAAAAGACGATTTTGTGTTAGCAGCACCAAGGAATATGTCGGAACGAAATAGAAAGATATTCGTTTCTGGAAGAATATTCTTTGTGTCGCATGTCGCGAGCGTATTATTTTCGTAGAGAAATATAACGTCTTCTAAAAGTCTAAAGAAGTTACGTCTAAACCAAATATACTGTTACTCTCTCTCTCTCTCTCTTACTAGACAGAAAAATGCATGTCACACCAGTAAATATAGAAATTTAAAAAATAATGATCCACGACGATAAATCAGTCAATAATACAGCAATTATAAGATTATATTGGTCATATCAGTTAATTATTCATTAAATTATTAAAAATAAATAAATATATATATTTCATTAAGAAAATTATTATTGACTAATGTGAGAAAAAAGAAGAGAAAAAGAGAATAAGATTTTATTCAATGTTTTAAATTATGATATTATTATACAAACTTTAATTTCTTGGCTTGTAAGCTTTATGAT